AGGTGACACACGGTGAGTGTAGGTGGGGTGCGCAGTGTGTATTCGAAGGCCTGGGCTCATCCACACCGGAGCTCCTTCTCGTGTGGTCTAGTTAGGCGGAATTCCCATGACCCAACCCAACCCATAACAGTTTGCAGACCATTACTAGATAAGCAGCGATATTGATTGAGAGCACAAGCTCAATACATCTGCTAATGGCGAATTGAACTGTGAGGGTAGCATTCTGGCGTTGGGAGGACTTTACCAAATACTACCCGAATTTCTTCCGTTACAACCTCTCTTTCCTCCCTCTCACATCCAACTTATGTTCTACCAGTTCAAAAACTGCCACCGTGGACTGATAATGTAGGGAATAGGCAGCGGTGTTGCAGAGTCGAGGCAAAGCAGCTCCCATGAACGGAGCAGGTCCACTAATCGGGTAATTTTCCCAGTCCGAATGTGACCGTCTCCCTCTCCGGAAGACCTACTATGAACTCTCGAGCGTACGACTTGTCATCCTTACAACATGTGTTATACGTCTACTTCTATCACAACAGATTCAACTTCTTTCAGATCTCAGTAAATCTCCGACTTCCCGAAGGACGACATAAAGTTGAGAAAGCGACGTTGAGAAACGGCGAATACAGTGCGTTCCTCTTCTCACTATTGACTTATTTTAAATTTAACTTCTGATTTGAAATGTGCCTTATTCAGAGCGAATCTTACGTCGAGAAGCGGCGAAAAAAGCTGCATACGAAGCCGAGGAATTGGCAAAGAATCCCGTGGTGAGGCCTTGAACTTTCACGTTCATCCTCCCTTCAATCGAGATCTACCTTTATGTTGATCAATCTCGAAACGCGTACTTTTTAACTGACCATTATTGTTTTGTTACCAGCTCACTGGGAACCGAGTTCTACAGATACGCCGGCTGTGTGTAAGTACTGGTTGTTTCCTTCCTTGATGAGGTCACCTGTTACGCATGGACCTTATTACGAATCACAGCGGGTTTCAAAAGTCATGGAAATTTTGATACCCACGCCATGCAATTCGTAGGAAGCACGCACTGCGCTTTCATCGCTTATGATGTGTTCATACTTCGCGAGTCTTGCGATTCAGCAGTGCTGTTAGGCAGTTTGAGAATCGCACGAGCTCTTATCTTTGGTAGGCGGCTAAACGAAATCTGCGTGGAGGGGCGCTGTTGGTCGCAATAGCGTTATTCTCAGATCGCTCGTTTGAACCAGTCGCAACGTATGGACGCGGCGCAGATGGGAGACCACTTCACAGTGCATCTGTGCTTCTCAGTAAGGCTGCGTTTATACTTTGCGGCAGCGTAGCGTAGCGCTTCCAGCGTACGCCAGCGGCAGTGCCGGGGAGAGGATGCATATCGATCTAGCGTTCCCAGCGTCACCAGCGTAACGCTAGCGTACGCTAGCGTTACGCCAGCGTTTCTCCAGCGTTTCACTAGCGTTTGCTAGCGTTTGCAGGCGGCAGGGGGAGTAGAGACTGGAGGTGAGGCAAGAACCAGGCATCGATTGCGCCGTCTTCCGCGTCGCGCTATCCCGTCTCTAACATATACACATAGTACTCTACTCGCCTGACGACTGCAAACGCACCAAATGACCCGCCTGGGTGAAACGCTGGCGAAACTTACGCTGGTGACGCTGGGAACGCTAGATCGATATATCCATCCTCTCCCCGGCACTGCCGCTGGCGTACGCTGGAAGCGCGTACGCTACGCTGCCGCAAAGTATAAACGCAGGCCTAGACGTGAAGCCTTTCCGCCGAGTCTATCCTTCGTCGACTCTGGTCGCCTGCATACTGAGCCTAAAGACAGTTCTGAGATCAACTGGTCCGCGAGAAATTCACTTGTGCATTTGGCATCGTTGTCCGCCTTCGCAAAGAATGTACCACTTTCGTCTCTCAAAAAGAAGCGAGATATAGAACGAGAGACGCGAGATATTGACCATGCGCAACCGACGACTAGCTTTCAGACTGATGCAAGATATCTTGCGCGCAGCGTAGCGTAGCGCTTCCAGCGTACGCCAGCGGCAGTGCCGGGAGAGGATGGATATCGATCTAGCGTTCCCAGCGTCACCAGCGTATACGCCAGCGTTTCGCCAGCGGTTTCACTAGCGTGCAGCGGCGGGGAGTAGAGACTGGAGGGTACAAAACTCATCGATTGCGCGTCTCTCGCTCGCCCTCAGTTTCTGCTATACACATCGATTGCGCGTCTCTCACGGCCATAGCTCTACTCCCCTGCCGCTGCAAACGCCAGCAAAACGCTTGGTGAAACGCTGGCGGCAAACGCTAGCGTTACGCTGGTGACGCTGGGAGCGCTAGATCGATATCCATCCTCTCCCCGGCACTGCCGCTGGCGTACGCTGGAAGCGCTACGCTACGCTGCCGCAAAAGTAATAAACGCTGCCTAACGTGACCCTTTCCGCAGACTATCCTTCCTTCGTCGACCTCTGGTCGCCTGCATACTGAGCTTAAAGACAGTTCTGAGATCAACTGGTCCGCGAAAAGCACCCGTGCATTTGGCATCGTTGTCCGCCTTCGCAAAGAATGTACCACTTTCGTCTCTCAAAAAGGCGAGATAAGGAAGCGAGAGACGCGAGATTATTGCAACCATCGCAACCACGAATACTTTCACTCTGCAAGACAACGGCTTACAAGCGGAGTTGTGTGTGTTCATAACGTTGCCTGGAGCGTCATAGGGCCCCATGCTTTTGCCGAAAACTGGTTGCAATGGTCGGTGCAGTGTTGAACTGGTCGAATCCTGCTGATTTGGCTTGTCCGACGTCCAACAAACTCGTCTCGTCCAAGGCACCGGCGCCACTGCTGAGGGGGAATCTGTGTGCAGAGTATTTAGGGTTTTTTTGTTTCTTTCTTCACTGGGGAATTATTATGAGCTACTGCTTCATGACTGAGCACCCTCTCCTCGTAACTCTAGATCGCGGAAATTGTCTTTAAGTCTCTGTTGTGCGAAAGGACACAGGAGCGCTGAGTGGCCCTCTCTGCAATTACTCAAGTGCTGGGGGAGGATAGCTAGACAGTTCACAAGGAGTTCGTCGAACTCGGTCTCCAGTGAGCTCGTGCTTCAAATCAATTTGTTGACAATTTCGAAAAATACGACCCTTTGACTACATCCTTTATGAAAATCCTGATGTGAATTTCACTTGTCTTTTTTCTAGCCGAAACTCTCTAAGGAGCCTAAACCGGCGCCTAAAAAACCAGCCGCAGCCGCCGCAGCTAAAACTCCGGCAAAGGTGCGTTGATTGTGGAATAGCATGCGCGTTACTGTATGTACTAGTACAACATACTAAGTTAGCCATTCTTCATCTATCATTAGTTCGTTTTCGTGCAAATAGGTTCTCTCGGTTGTGTTTCTGTGTCCGGTGTCTGTGATTGCGTGTGTATATGTCTGTGCGTGTCCATCGAAAGATAAAGTTCGTCTTGGTAGCCTAGCCTACTCGTACTTGTTTGTCTTTACTTTACTCTTATAGCATGGCATTGTAACTTCTGTCTTAGAGAGTAGCATCGAGATGTCGACTAGCGAACTATTGGTTCCTTTCACCGATTTGCCGTTCCTTTGGCTAACACCTCATTGGAATGGACTCTTCTGCTCTCAATAGTCGAAGCCAGAAGAGTCGTTAGCGAGGTTTTGTGAGCCGCTTCAGTTCAAACACATTAGGTGCATAGATTTGAAATAGAGTCAGCTACAGTAGTTAGAGAGTAGCTAGAAAAAGATGGCAGCCTCTTACTGCATTTGTTTAGGAGCCTCTTGCTAAGGCTAAGGACGCTAAGGAAGCGGCTCCAAAATCGACACCAGATGTCAAGAAACCTCCTCCATCCACTACTACTAAACCAGTCACGTCACAAGTTGTTAAGCCCACTGTGTCATCCACTGCTAAAGAACGAAATCCTCCGTTGGTAGACAAAAACGATACTGCTAAAGTGGCAGCAGCAGCAGCAGCTTCTGAGAAAGACAAAAAGCCGGCAGCTCCTGCAAAGAAAGCGGACACAACTGCACCAAAAGCTAAAGCAGCTGCACCAGCAAAGACAGAAGTTGCTGCTGCCCCTGCCAAAGCCGCAACGGCAACGAAGAAGACTGAAGATACTGTCAAAAAACCCGCCGCTGCCGCGCCAAAAACTGCAGACGCGAAGCCGAAGGAGCAGCCAGCCGCAAAGGCTGCTCCGGCTCCAGCAAAGAAAACAGCGGATGCTGCAAAGAAACCGGAGATAAAGAATGAGGAGAGCGCTGCACCAAGGCCCATGAAACCATCAGAGATTAAGGCTAAAGAGAAAGAACAGTCAACGGTGTTGAAGAAGAAGGCAGCTGAACCTGAGGAAAAGAAACCAACTTCTATAAAAGTTGCTGCATTATCCAGGAAACCGAACGCTGATTCCACTGCTGCTAAAGATGGTGGCGAGCAAGACCGTCTCAAGAAGGCTAGAGATACTGCAAAGAAGGTAGACGATCAGAAAACAGCTAAGACTGAGCCTTCGAAGACATCACCAAAGCCAGCATCGAACTTGAAGAAGACAGAGAACGCCGATAAGGATGAGAAGGAGAATGAAGTGAAGGCTGACCTTCCAAAAACGACACCGAAATCAGCTTCGAAGTTGAAAAAGACGGAGAGTGGTGAAAAAGAAGAAAAGGAGGAGAAGGAGAAAGAAGCGAAGGCTGAGACTCCGAAAGCAGCACCGAAAGCCTGCGTCAAAGTTGAAAAAGACAGAGAGTGGTGAAAAAGAAGAGAAGGAGGAGAAGGAGAAAGAAGCGAAGGCTGAGCCTCCGAAAGCAGCACCGAAACCTGCGTCAAAGTTGAAAAAGACAGAGAGTGGTGAGAAAGAAGAGAAGGAGAAAGATGCGAAAGCTGAGACTCCGAAAGCAACAGCGAAGCCTGCGTCGAAGTTGAAAAAGCAGATAGCGCTGATAAGGATGAAAAGGAAAACGAGGCGGTTGAGAGGCCCCAGAAATTGATGCCTAGATCTAAGAAGTCTGTTAGCTTTGAAAAGGATGATAAGGAGGACAAAACGATTGAGAATGGACCATCCACACCAGTCAAAACTCCGGAATCTAAGGCCAAGACGCCAACAACTACGGATAAAGCGGAAAAGACAAAAGAGGCATCTGCGGAGAAGACACCAGTGACGCCGACCTCCACAGACAAGCAGAAGGTGGCGGATCGCAAGAAAACGAGCTCTTCAGAAGAACCTACGGAAGCTAACGGCGTTTTACCGTCGGGTAGAAAATCTACAGAGGATGATGACACCGAGAAAGACCCTGAAACGAAGCCTGTTAAGAAAAGCTCCGTGTCGCAGGCCGCAACTGAACCAGAGAAATCGCCTGAACATGTCCCAGATGACGTCAAGGAAGTGAAGTCTCCAGAGAGCTGGAGAAGGACGAGCAAAGTCGATGACAGCTGGAGAAGGACGGGTACGAGCAAACTCGATGACAGCTGGAGAAGGACGAGTAAACTTGATGACAGCTGGAGAAGGACGAGTAAACTCGATGACTATAAAACAACATCAAAACGGTCCTCACTCTCTTCGAGGCGCTACTAGAAGGGATAGGATTGCGGTTCGTCCACCGTTTTACATGCGTGTATCGAAATGCTTGTGAGAAATATGCGTGTACAGTACAACTATGCAGTACACTCTGGGTAAAATTTATTATACATAGTGCCTTTCTGTCTGTGCGGATATTATGATGTCTAGTCATGGTGTTCTTACTGTACATAATAGCTGTATTGTATTTGTATGTGTTGTAAGGTATTAAATCGCTGTCAAGTTACCGTACACCCTTCATATGTCTTCAGCACCTTCGAAAAGCTATTTCCTATTTGTGCTTCTTCGCCTTTCGTCACGTACGTATCTATATTTTCAATGTCTTAAGCATAAACACCGCTTAGCAGCCATATGTGTCCCTTTTATAATCGCGAATTCAGGATGAGGATAACCCCTTAAAGAAGTCGCCCGTCGATGAACCGATGGCCGTCTATAGACTTCGCCGCCCACGCCGTAGCTCGCCACAGGATGTCGAGAAGCGCACTATTGCTGCGTAAATAGGTAGAGCATAAGAGATTATGTCTTCGAGGAGAACGCTTTGATTGCCAGCCACTGGTTACACGATTTCTGATCACTACTAACACTTATCTGTGTATTACCGTAATTTTGTGATGCAAGGAATTAGCTGAACAATGAACAGTTCGGAAAGTGATGGGCGGATTGGGTTCTCACTCTCAACTACC